GGGGGGGATAGTGGAAGCAGAGGCTGCTTACCTTGCCCTTCGAAAGATGGAATTCGACCTTCGACCCGCTTCTCCCGTACGCATGCCCATATGCACCCCGCCACACACACCAAGACCTGCAAACCCGTCGTTGCAAAATATATCTTCCCGCGCCCCACGCTGGATGCACGTGGCACCGCGCCGCGCGCACGTGACACGAGCAGCGTACTAAGCCCGTCTCACGCGTGCATCCAGGAATCCGGCTCGGCGTGAGACCTCTCACTCAGTCACCGCGCCCACTTGCGCCTCGATCTTCTTTGGTAGCAGCTGGTCCGACAAATCCTCACCGTGGCCTAGCTGGCCGGTGCCACCCTGGCCCCAGGCAAAGACAGCGTTTTCGGCAGTGAGAGCGAGGCTGTGGAATGCTCCAGTCGACACAGCGACGACGCGCCGGCCAGCAAAGGCCTCGACCTTCTTGGGCAGCAGCTGGCTTTGCGTGTCGCCGTGGCCCAACCGGCCTTGGTATCCGTAGCCCCAGCTCCAGACGGCGCCGTCGGCCGTGATGGCGAAGCTGTGGTCGCGTCCAGCCGACACAGCGACGACGCGCTGGCCAGCAAAGGCCTCGACCTTCTTGGGCAGCAGCTGGGTCTGCAGGTCGCCGTGGCCCAACCGGCCGTAGACTCCATTGCCCCAGCTCCAGATGGCGCCGTCGGCGGTGAGGGCGAGGCTATGCATGAGTCCAGCCGACACAGCGACGACGCGCTGGCCGACAAAGGCCTCGACCTTCTTCGGCAGCAGCTGCTCCTGCGTGTCGCCGTGGCCCAGCTTGCCACTTGCTCCACCGCCCCAGCTCCAGATGGCGCCGTCGGCGGTGACAGCGAGGCTGTGCGCGCCTCCAGCCGACACGGTGACGACGCGCTGGCCAGCCAAGGCCTCGACCTTCTTGGGCAGCAGCTGTGGCTGCGTGTCGCCGTGGCCCAGCTTGCCCCAGCCTCCAAAGCCCCAGCTCCACACAGCGCCGTCGGCGGTGACGGCGAGGCTGTGGTCGCCTCCAGCCGAGACAGCGACGACGCCACAAGCCCAGGCCTCGATCTTCTTTGGCTGCCACTGGTGCTGCTCATCGCCGTGGCCCAGCTGGCCAGAGCTGCTGCTGCCCCAGCTCCAGACCTCTCCGGTCACGGTGAGGGCGAGGCTGTGATCGGCTCCAGCCGACACACTCATGGCACGGAGAGAAGACGGGAGGCGGGTCGGCGTGTTGAGCCGCGTCACGCCCTCGCCGTGGCCCAGTAGCTCTTGCATGTAGGACGGCGTAGAGCCGCACGACGAGAGCCGCCCCTCGCCGTCGATGAAGACGCTGTGCGTATAGCCTGCCGCCGCCCTCGCCGGCGGGTTGGACTCGCATAGCAAGGCCGAGTAGCACAGCCACCGCACGGCGCAGCCCTCGCCCTCCGGCTGCGCCGACAGCTCGAAGCCGCGCTCTTGCGCCCACAAGCGGATGCCATCAGCCGCGAGCGAGGCGTGGAAGAGGAGCGAGACGGCCGCGACGCGAGCGATGTCGAGGGGGCATTCGCAGCGAGAGAGGATGTGCTCGAGGAGCGCCGTGGGGAGGTCGAGGAGGCGGGCGGGCGGCGGCGTGTCTGGCGAGGGGGCGCGGGTGGCGGCGGAGGCGAGGCGGCGCGAGCGGCGGCGCGACAAGGCAGACATGCGAGAAAAGAAACACGAGTGCCTCAAAGAAAAGGGAGAGTGGTGTGACTAAATGAAGGGAAAGAACAATAAAAACAAAAATTCTTCGGTGTTCATGACTTAATGATAAATGGATCTAAGTGTCTTGTCTTGTGGTTCTGTGTGTCACTCCTGTGACCGTCCCCGCCCGTCTTGCGTCCACCCATACTACCGCGCTGGTGTCCCTCCCAGTCGTTGGTCGGACAGTGTTTCGCCTTCCTAACTAACTAACTAAGAAACAATATGAGAAACTAATAGGGCTGTGAGTGGGTGGTGGTGATGGAAAATGGCGGCGGCGGCGGCTTCAACAACGGCGGGGGCCCGGCGCTCACGCCCCCCGGTCCTCCCCAGCCACTTCGCGATGCCATGCCGGAGTCGCACAGCCCGGAGCACTGATCGTGGGCGTCGGTGCCCTCGATCATGGCGAGCACATCGCTGATGTTGGAGATGCGCTCGGCGCAGCTGTTCGATAGTGCCGAACAGCTGTTCGAGTGCACGCGATAGTAAGAGCGCGCGGCGCCGGCCCGACTATCCGTGGGCATGGGCTCGAGCCCCATGAACCGCAGTAAGGGAGCGGCAGCCTTGGCGTCGCCGTCGCGCGCAAGGTCCTCATAGAAGACCCGCAAGTAGCGCGCCGGCCCAAGCACGGCGCCCCAGCACGTCATCTCGGCGTGGGACCGCTCGGTGGCGGTGACAAAGTTCCGGCTCACGTTCGGGGCGATCGCCACCGGCGTGGAGGAGGCAGCGATGCGCGCGGCCTCTTCCGAAGATTCGACCTGCGCAGTCTTCCGCAATCCAGCCGAGATCTCCGCCGTAGTTTGGAGCGAGGAGGTAAGACTCAAGATTGACGCGCGGCGGACGAGGTGGATCACGCCCGCGCCGGCTCGTCGCAGCCACGCGAGGATGCCCGGCCGCAGCTTCTCCGGCACCTGATCCCACATGAGCTTATACATCAGGTGCGTCCACGGCGGCGGCGCCGACGACGACGCCAGCGTTGCCCCCGATATCCTAACCCTCTACCCACTTCTACGGTGCGGCATCGCACCTCCGACACATAGATGCGCGGCGGGGGCGTCTCGCAAAAGGTTGGGTCTGTCTTGTCGGCCGTGGCGTCATACCTCCAGGTCGGGTCAGGGAGGCCGTGTTTGGGGTCAGCCCTGGTGGCGTTGCACGCTTTGTCGGCGGAGTTGCCGCTTTCGCAAAGCAGCACGAGGTTGGTGCCGGGGATGCGGGCGACGCTCTCGAGGTCGGTGCTGCGGTGGCGGGTCGGGGAAGGCGAGGTCTGTGAACTCGAGGTGCATCAGCCCGCCCTCCAGGCCGTCGGTGTTGTCGTCAGACTCTTTCTTGGGCAGCATGAACATGCTCACCTGCGACGAACAGTGCGGCAGGGGATCCCCTAGTCTAGGGTACCGAAACTCACCCCCCCCCCCTTGGCGCCTTGTGATTTTCGTGCCCAGGCAGGGCAACACCGCTCCACATAGGGGGAGCGGGGTTTTCCGCGGAGAGGCTGCTTTCGGCTCCCTAACGCGACGCTCGTCTTCGCTACTCCTGCTCCGAGCTGGACTTAGCGTGATTAACACCTGCTCTAACCTCTACATCTAGCCACCCATCGAGCTGTGGCTGCTGACTGAGACAGAACACGGCTCTGAGATGCGAGAGTGGCGTTGCGCGTTTTGCTTTTGGCCCTCAGCCTACACTGTGGGGTGTGCCCGAGCATGATGTATGTGCGCGTCTGTGTGTGTGTGTGTGGGACAGACGTTGTTGTCCTATGCGCGGGGCTTCCCGCGGGGACCGAGGACGTAACAGCAGCAGAAGAAAGCAGAAACGGGGTTAATCCGCCCAGCTGCAGCGGACCGACACTGCCTGCGAAGGACACTGTGTCTCTCGCCGACCAGGCACTCGACGACCAGAAAACTTTAGCCGACCTGAGGATGCTCGCCGACCAGACGGCGACGCTCTCGCCGACCGGCTCGCCGCCCCAGCCGGAGGCGCCGCCGAGGGAGGAGCCGCCGCCGGCCGACTTCATCTGCCCCATCACGACCGAGGTGATGAGCGACCCGGTGATGGCGACGGACGGCCATTCCTACGAGCGGAAGCAGATCGAGCGCTGGCTCGCGACCAAGTCGACGAGCCCGATGACGGGCGAGGCGCTCGAGCATAGCATCCTCACCCCAAACCACGCGCTGCGTGGGCGGATTCGAGAGTGGCAAGAGGCGCATCATTGAGCGCGGAGCATTTTTCGAAAACAAAAAATCCCAAGTGCTCTTCCTGTCAGGCATCGCGTGTGCGGTGCGTGTGGCGAGAGTGAGCAGCGAGCTCTGGGCCGGCGCGGGGGCCCCAGAGGGTGTGGCCATGCGGGGGGGAGATGGGGTTCCCATGGCCCGCCGCAGGCGCCGATTTGGAGCACTTGGAGTGCAGTTAGTAACCTCACATCCAGGGCCGGGGAGCTAAGAAGCGCACCCAGCGGGCCGGATGATCGGGATCGGGCTACGGGCTAGAGAGCCCTAGCCCTGGGGGGTGCGCGTTCGCGCAGGGAAAGGGCCGTAAAGTAAACACGGTTCTCCGAGGGTTAGTACCGCGCTCCAGGTTTCCCCTAGCAGCAGAACGCCCCCTCTACTCGGAGCTAGTAAACACCAGACAAGGACATGGTCCCTTGGCAGTGGGACGATCACGACCCCGTCATGCTGGAGGCTGATGACCGCTCGGCCCGTCGCGCACGCCCAGTCCCATTTGGCCGCCCTGGAGACTGCCTCCAGTTCCGACACCACGTCCGACTTCAGCGTGCGAGCCGGGTCAGTCGGTCCCCCCTGGTTCGTGCTCGCCTCGCTCCGGTTCCAGTACCCCTCGTGCAGGTCACCTAGCTGCTCAGCTTTTCGGATTTTTTGCCGATTTTTTACTTGTTTTCAGGACGTTCGCTGTGTGCCGGGCTACCTGTTCGGTGATTGGTGACCTGGTGACAGCTCGGGTGTGAGCGACACGGCGGAAATGGGTTCCGTCCGCGGACATCACCCCCCGAGCGAGTGAGTCAAACCCCAGCCAGTGGACTGACCCTCCATTTATGAAAAGAGAAATCTAACCCGGATCCTGCTGAACAAGCTCTTCTTGTAGCTCGATCGGTCACACCGCCATCGCCGTCGGGGAGAGGGGGGACGACACTGCTTCGGCAGCGTGCACCTCGATCCCGAGCCCAAATCACACACGATCCTGTACCGTGTTTGTTAAATTTTGGCGAACCGCGAACCGGTCGCGCCTCCGCGGATGCGGGGTTGATAGAGCAGGCTGGCTGCACCTCCTCATGAGGCTCATGTACCTCCACTTTTGGTGGCGGTTCACGCGCTGCTGATGGCGCTCGCCGGCGTTTGCGGCGCGGGGGTTGAGATTTTAAGAAAAAGAAAAACCGCCGCGTCGTGTGTGTATATGGTGGTCTGTCGACGCCCTCGCCGGAATTGCCGGTGGTGGTGGCGGAATCGTGAGTACGACGCGACGTCCATCCTCCCCTCGCGCCTCGCCGACGTCCGCTCTCGGCGCCCTCGCCAGCAGCGCTCGAGCGAGCCGCCGGCTGACGCCGTTCCCGCTGCCGCTCCAGCTCCCGCTGCCCCAGCTCCCGCCCCTGCTCCGGCTCCGCCGCCGTTGGCCACGCCCGCATTCCCCGAGCGTATGAACAAGCGGCCTCGCCGCGTCCGGCAGCCCAGCGGCGCCTCATTCGCGCCGGCGCCCGACGCCAGCTCCAACCGGAGGCATGGCGTGGTGAGGAGCGGTGGGCGGCTGGCGCCGGTGCACACGCTGCCGCTCACGCCTGCCGCAGACGAGCCGGGCCTTCGCTCCGCGTCCACGGTGCAGCCGCTGGCAGGCCTCGAGTACGGACCGACGCCCTTCAGCTGCCCAGTCGACACGCTGCTCACGGTCCGCCCTTGCGCCATCGCAGCGAGATACGGCCGAGATTGCGGCAGAGATGCGAGATCAACCTCCGCCGCCTGCTCTGCTTGCCCGCTCTCCCCGGCCTACTCCGACGCCCTCGCCAGCGCCGCCCTGCAGGTGCTGCGCCATGCGCTGACGAGGGAGGAGAGGCGGCAGCTGCGCCGCTGCGCCAGCCAGCCTGGCGGCGCCGGCAGAGGCGCCCGCTTCCCCCGCCGCCTCTCTCGCGCCCTCTCCTCCTTCGCCACTCCTTCACCGCCACTCCCCTCACCGCCTCCCCCGCAGCGAAGGTTCTCCCAGGCCCCCCAGCAATAAATGGAATTGTTTGCTCGTACTGTATGCAAGACGGTCCGCAGGCTGCGGGTTGTAGGGCGAGCACATAGCCACGGCATTGCCTTTGGCGATCTCTTGTGTGTGACAGACTGTTCTTGGATGACCGACGCCAGTCATCTTCCTGGTCAGCCGGGTCTT